CCAAAAGACTTCTAGATTTAATTACCAAATTCAGTAGTGTAGCTGGATACAAAGTCAACACTCAAAATCAACAGTCTTCCTGTACATGAATAACAAACTCACTGAGAGAGGAATTAGAGAAACAACACCTTTCACAATAGCATTAAAAAAAAAGAAATACCTAGGAATCAATCTAAGAAAGGAAGTAAAAGACCTCTACATTGAAAACTATAATACCCTGAAAAGGGAGATCAAAGAGGATATCAAAAAATGGAAAGTTATCCCTTGTTCTTGGGTAGAAAGAACCAATACAGTGAAAATGGCCATACTTCCAAAATTTTTGTTCAGATTTAATGCAATCCCAATCAAAATTCCAATAGTATATCTCACAGAATTAGAAAAAAACAATCCTAAAATTCATTTGGAATCAGAAGAGACCTAGAACAGCAAAGGCAATTTTGGGCAACAAAGGTAAGGCAGGCGGCATCACAATTCCTAACTTGAAATTATACTATAAAGCTGCTGTGATAAAAACAGCATGGTACTGGCAAAAGAACAGACCTGAGGATCAATGGGACAGATTAGGTGTTGCAGAAACAACTTTATACATACTCAGCCACCTTATCTTTGACAAAGGAGCCAAACACCTTCACTGGAAGAAAAACAGCCTCTTGAATAAATGGTGCTAGAATATAAAAAATAAATGGTGCTGGAAAAGCTGGGTTTCCACTTGCTGTTTAAAACTAGACCCGTATCTTTCACCAGGCACTAAACTCAAATCAAAATGGGTCAAAGAGGGCCCGGGGGGTGGCTCAGCGGCACCATACCTGCCTGGCAAGCACAAGGTCCTGAGTCCAATCTCTGGTGTCAAAACAACAACAAAAAAATGGATCAAAGATCTAAATACTTAAACAGAAACACTAAATCTGCTGGAAGAGAGAAGAGGGAGAACTCCTGAAAACACTGGTGTAAGCAAAGACTTTATGAACAAAACCTTGATTGCACAGGAAATATCATAAAAAATCAATAATTGGGATTTCATCTTATTAAAAAGCTTTTGGACAGCAAAAGAAACCACCAACAAAGTGAAGAGACAACCCACAGTGTGAGAAAAATTTTTTGCCAGCTGTTCCTCAGACAAAGGACTACTATCTAAAATATATAAAGAACTAAAAAAAAAAAAAAATCAGACCCCCAAGTTTAAAGACCTAATCTAAAATTGGGCATTCGAAATGAATAGACACTCCTCAGATGATTTCTACTGAAATAGCAAATAAATAGATGAAAATATGTTCCACATCACAGGTCATTCAAGAGATGCAGATGAAAACAATGCTGAGCCCGGGATTTAGTTCAGTGGCGCCACCACCTGCCTCGTAAGCACAAGGTCCTGAGTTAGATCCCCAGTACCAAATCCCGCCCCCCAAAAAACCCCCCAAAAAAGCAATGCTGAGATTCCATCTCACTCTAAAATGGGTGGTTTTTATCAAGAAATCAACCAATAACAAATGCTGGAGGGACTGTGGGGGAAAAAGGAACCCTTTTCCACTATTGGAGGGAGTGGAGACTGGTGAAACCACTGTGGAAATCAGTGTGGAGATTCCTCAAACCACTAAAACTAGAGGTTCCATTCGATCCAGCTATTCTCTTTCTTGGTATCTTCCTGAAAGAATTAAAAGCATCACACTATGGAGATATATAAACACTCATGTTTATAGCAGTACAATCTGTGATAGCTAAATCTTGGAAACAGCCCAAATGCCCATCAACTGATGAATGGATAAAGATGTGGTCTTGTTGGGAGCAATGCTACACAATTCTAGGGAAAAATCATTTGAGTAGGCCTAGTTCTCCGGCCTACAGGCCAGCTATGACATTCCAGACATAATTGCATTTTGGCCTGGGGTCACAACTGAGACCTCAGTGATCCCCCAGATGCTGTAATGCTCCAGGACAAGACCACACCTGCAGGAGATGACAGGGAGGAACCAAATCTTTATCTGCATAGTTCCTCATTGTTCTTAGATTTCCACTGACCCCCAGTCTTTTTACTCCTGGTTTATCCCAATGTAAAGTACTGAACTCTGCATTTTCACTTGTTACATCTGTTTCCCTAGGTACTGAATAAAAAGTGCTGCAAGCTAGGGGGCTTTTGTCTTTGCTGCCCAGAGCAGCACTGATCAGACTCAAAGCTCAGCTTCTTCTCAGTCTCATTTTTCTACCTTTCCTGTAATTCGCCGTGTGCTGCCCTGGCTCGCAGGAGACTAGGACTCACTGCAGAGGTTCTGGTAACGTCCCCTTCCCCTGTTCCCTACATGGTCTTTTTTATACAATGGAGTACTACTCAGCCATAAAAAAGATAAATTTGAGACATTTATAGCTAAATGGATGTACCTTGAGACCATACTCTTAAGTGAGATAAATCGGACACACATGTTTAAATACACACATTTTGAACACACATTGTTTCCCTGATGTAAGAAACTGAAAGTGGAAATAAGGACCAAAATGTATAATGAATATTGGAAATGAGAAGAAAATGTTCTGATGAAAAGGGGAACAAGGGAGGTGGGAGGGAGAAAGGAAAGAAGGAAAAAGAAAAAAAAGAATAGAAGGAAAAAATGGATGTGCTCGCTTCAGCAGCACATATACTAAAATTGGAACGATACAGAAGGAAAAAATGGAAACAAAGCTTTTGTAAACAAAGGAGGGGAAGAGGGGTTGAAGGGGTGTGGGAATGGAAAAAAAAGAAGATATATTATGTACAGGTACAAATTCCCTATGATGAATGTTATCATTATGTATATCTAAAATGTTTTGCAAACACAAAAAAGCAGTCCCATAACTCTTTGGATGAATTATGCCTCTGATACTTTATACCTTCAGAGTGACTTGGTCAATGTATGTACTGTTCTGCAGCTTCTCTGTGTTTGTGTGTGCATGTGTTAATTTAAAACAATTCTCATTATTTGTGGTGGCATGACTATAATTCCAGTTACTTGGGAAGCTAAGTCAGGAGGATGGCAAGTTGAGCCTAATTTGGGCAACTTAGGGAGACCCTATCTCAAAATGAAAAAATTTTTAAAAAGGGCCAGGGATGTAGCTCAATGGTAGGGTGCTTGCCTAGCCTGTGTGAGGCTCTAGGTTCAATCCCCAGCATGGCAAAAAGTAAAATATTTTCAACAGACATATTTTCGTTCTTCTTAATGGCTACAAGTGTCCTTTGATACACTTATTCCACAATTTATTTAACCGATCTCTTAGTGACAGTCAGGTTATTTTGGCACTTTGATGCCCCTCTGTCCTGTCTGTCCTTACTTCTCAAGGGTGTGCTATGACACCTCAGCACTCAACTCCTCAAAGACCTCCCTTACTTTGCTTTAACCAATACCAACAGCCCGCTCCATTTCCATGGTGCTAAATTTCTGCTCCATGCAAGCTTAGAGACACACAGGATAAACGACTTCCAGGAGCACTATGCACATGGCTTCCATGATTATGGAAGTGATACTTACAGGACTTGTGACCTCTGGTGTCCAGAAAACATTACAGTTTTCATTTACTACTCAGACTGGCTAAATTCTAAATTTCAAAGAAAGTGAGCTGCACAGCAATGGAAAGCTAGGTGAAAGTCAAATTAACTATCACTTTTCTGTTTGTAGAAATGCCAAGGGTCCAGAGATCTGCTACTTTCAAAAACTCAGGGAGTCTTAGGGCTTACAACAGACTCTGAAGGTTACCTGGTCCAAAAGGTTTAACAAAGTCATAGGATATAAAGCCAATCTGCAAAAATCAATTGTACTTCCATACGTCCACAAGAAATAGTTCAAAAGTGAAATTAAACACAAGCAAAACCCTTTTTGCCATTCTGTAAGACTCAAGGGACAGGGACACGGGTCGGGCCGGAGAAACGCAGGCAGGGCCAGGGTGGGGCTGAGGGGCCTGGGCAGCATTCCCCTGAACAGCCTTGGGCAGGTCCACTAGGGCTGGAGAAGGCAGGAGGCTGGGACAAACTCGCCAGGATGCCACACAGCCCAGGGTCCCCTAGGGGCTCTGGCTGAGGCCCCGCTGTCCCCCACCGGGCTCTGTTGGAAGCAGACGCTGGCCAGGCTGCCTTCCCCGTGCCCATCATTTCTCCAGTGCCTTCGTAAACCACTGGCCCACAAGTTCACGGCTCAGGGTCTACTGGGGAAGGCAACTGAAGACCACCTCACTTGCTGATGACTTATATAGAAACATACATATATAAATGAGAGGGAGGTGTGTATGTGTGTCCACAGCCTGATCTCGTGACACTGAATATAATTTAACCATTACACTGAGTGTATTATTTAGGAATTCTCACACGTGATTTTAAGTCACGCTGACATAAAGTGACTGTAAAAAGCACGGTTTTAACAGCAAATTGATCAGGTTCAAATTTTTTGCTAAATGAGATCAATAAAGTTCTCCCTCAAGAGGTTATTCACCTTAGTATTTTCTTCTTCTTTTTTAAATTTCTGAGATAGTGACTTGGTATGTAGTTCACACTGGCCTTGAACTCGTAGTATCCTCCTGCCTCAGGCTCCCCGGTGCTGGGATTAGAGGCATGTGCCACCATGCTCAGGTAGTATTTTTTTCTTTTTAACCAATATCAGTTCAAATATTTATCAGATACTCTAATGAACAACAAATGGCCATCAGGCTCTACCCAGGCTATACCCAGATTAGCAGATAGGCTGTGTTCAAATTCCACGTACCAGCTCTGAGGATAAAGTCCTTAGGCTCTAGAATTTGTGGGTTAAAACTGTAATTTATGTTCTTAAGCTAGAATTTGAGTTTCCTTATCTGTACAAAGACAGTAATAGCACATTCCTTGTAGGGTTGCCATGGAGATTGAGAATTCAGACAAAACTTCAGCACAGCGCCTGAGAGACGGAAAGGACTCAATACACATCTGCTGGTATTGCTGTACTTAAATTACCATATAGAGAAACCGTCCAAGTGACACACCAAAAGTTCATGAAAATTGATGGACTTACTTGTAATGTAGTGTCAAAGACGACAAGCTTTGAACTAGTTGGAACAATGTCATAACACTTGTGTGACCTCATGAATCGCATGTAAACACCACTTTCTGAGTCTTCTGCTAAAAAAAAAAAGAGTAACATATCAGCAATAATAAACTCCCTCCGTTGATGAAGAGCATATACGAAAAACTGCTAACAACTCAGTGGGAAAACAGGAAACATATTCTCTGTAAGATCAAGGACAGGGCTAGGGATTTAGCTCAGTGACGCCATCCTGAGTTTGATCTCCAGTACGGGGGCAGGATATGATGATCAAGGACAAGCCTAGAACATCTATGTGCACTTTTTTTCTTTTGGAGACAGGGTCTCGCTAAGTAGTCCAGGCTGGCCTCAAACTTGGGTGATCTTCTTTCCTCAGCCTCTCAAATGCTAGGATTACAGGTGTGCATGCATGGCCATGTGCACGAATTCTATCCAACACTCCACTGGGAAGTCCCAGCTGTGCAAAAAGGTAAAAGAAAAAGTGAAAAGCATCAGACCAGAAAAGGAAAGACCAGAACCAGAACTGTCTTTAATTACACATGACATGATTTTCCTAGAGAAAATAACCAAGAATCTAGGAAAAGTTCTTGGATCTAGAAAGGAGTTTAGCGAGGTCACAAATACAGGGATAATAAAGCAAAAACAAAGAAACTTCATTTCTACAATTAGTAATGAACAACTGGAAACTTCAAAACAAACTCAAGGGCCAGGGATTTAGCTCAGTGGTTCCGCCGCCTGCCTCACAAGTGTAAGGTCCCACCAAACAAAAAACAAAAAACAAAAAACACCCCAACAACAACAACAAACAAAACAGATTCAGGAAGCTGCTTCCATATGGTACGTGTCACACAGAAATACATGTCTACACAGGGGAACACAGCATGAAGGTCTTTAGCATATAGATGACCACATACCATGTCTTTTTATTATTCAGATCTGTGTAAGTGAACTGACAATTTAAGCAAAAATAATGACAATGTATTTAGGGTTTATAGAGAAGCTACTGGCACTTGCTATAACCAACTGCAAACATCAGGGGCCGTGTGGTCTTCATAATGCTTTGCTGGTTTTACAGCCTGAATTTCCCTTAAATCCACCTATTTCCCTCTACCTCCAAGGCCAGCTCCAGGCGTAGCACACAGCTTCCCTCCTCTGAGCCCTTTGCTGGCCACCATCTTTGTGCATCCAGACAGGTGTGCCAGACGCAGATCTATAGGAGTCAGCAGTGGCTTCCAGCTGCCCGGAAGGGTCTCCCGCCCAAACTCTGTCTCATCTACTACACTCCCCACACCCAGCATCCTGCCCAAATGCTTTTCCCATCTCTTCCCTGCTCAGTGAACTCCTTCACTTGCCCTCTGCTGAAGGATGCGGCCAGGAGGCTATGGGACTGGAAGTCAAGCCTCAAGCTTCTTGGTGCCAAGGCTGTGGTTGTGGCCAGGGTGGCGCCCTCCTTCCTCAGCCCACAGTGCTGCCTACCTATGCTGCTTGCTCACTCCCGACCCATCCTCATGGCTCAGTGCCACGACTCCCTCTAAGTGACCTCTTTGACAGCTCTGTTCAGCCTGCACCAATGTGTGTGCTTTGGAGGATTTAAACAACTGTGAAGAAATAAAATACTTTAGTGTACACGGGAATTAGCAAAATCAGTGTCAAGGAGCCCATGTGGTACTGAGGTCCTGCCTGTGGACAGAGCTTCGTCATCCTTTTTATTTCTTACAGTGGAAACCAGGCCGATTGGTCTCTCTATTTTGTGACAGACTCTGGGACCGCTCTTGGGAGTTCTTTCCAATTCTGATCACTCCTGGGGACTGACTCACACGTGGGCACCATTGTTCCTGTGGCCCCCAGACAGGGCCATCTTCAAGGACTGTCCTCTGCGGTGGGATCAAGTCCAGACATTTCTGCAGCCACAGTCACCCTATTCGGCTTCCCTGTAACTCATCCCTATGTCCTGCTTCCACATCCACGTAAAGGGGCGCATTCCTAGTTCCCTGTCTCCAACTTGCCTTCCCATCCTTGATGAGCTCTAATGTGTTTTCCCTTTTCTTTTTTTTTGGTACCGGGGATAGAACTCGGGTCCTTGCACTTGCGCGGCAGGCGGCGAAACCACTGAGCTAAATCCCCGGCCCTGTGTTTCTCTTTTTCTTGCAATCTCTGAAGCAAACTCCATCTATTCCTGTAAAAGTAAATAAATACCTGAGTGGTGACTATGAACGAGGTACTGTGACAATTTCATCTGATCTATGTAACCTGGAGGAAGAAGCCCTCATTTCTTTGTGTGACGTATAAGGAAAGTGAGGCCAGGGCAAGCTAAGTTGCCTGCCAAAGTCAGAGTGGCAGGGAGTAACCCAAGTGTGATTCAAAGCTCCACCTGACTCCAAAAGTGCCTCTTATTAAATGCTGCCTCATCAGATCACAGGACAGATGCCACCTATGTGACAGGTGCCGAGCTAGGTGGAGACACATGGGACAATGCGATCCTCACTTTTTACCCCCAAAGTTCACAAGCTGGCTGATCCCACAAGATCACACAAGAGAGTGCAAGAGAGCTGTCCAAATGACTTCTTCCCCTGAATGCCATTTGTCTGTATTTCTCATCAATTATCACTTTGTTTCTTGTTAACAGTGACTGTATATTTCTAATAATCTTTTCCTTCTTGGATGATAATTTCTTTGAATGATCAGAATCTTCTTCATGTAACCCATGAATTAATCCAAGCCTACATGTATTTATTAGATATTGCTTTAGCAATATGGAAATATCCAAAGCTGACTCTAAGAAGTGAGACAAGAAAAAAAATTTCAAAAAAGATTGTGCCTGTAGCAGGTTATAGATTCAGACAACTGGACTCAAGGCGGTGAGGAGAAAGCTCTAGAGAGACTGCAGTGTGGACCGCTGATCTGTCTCAGATCAGCCTCAGGGCAGGAGATAGTTTCTGCCCTTCTAGGGTCAAGGCCAGACCCAGACTGCCCGTGAGCTTGTGGGCAGAGATGCTGAAATGGGAGCCTCGGATCAGACCAAGAGATGTGGCGTGACACCAGCAGCACTTGACACCCCCAGCTCCCACTGTGCCACTGCTGCCCTCCCCCAGAATGGAGAAGGGGGACTTCAACAGTCTTCACACTGTCATGCATGCTACCAAGGACAAAAGGGAGCTCATGAATGTGCAAAATGTCAGCAACCCAACAGACAGATGAATGAAATTTAAGCTTTCAGGCTTCCCTAGTTCTTGAAATGTTTGTCTAGAGAAAACATTTGCAGGGGTCCCCTGCAGAGGAAGAGGTGAAACACAGAAAGCTCGAGGAGTCTGTTTCTGCCATAGCTGTCATGCTGTGGTACTCTCAAAGCCTATTTCAGGGTGTGATCTGGGCCAAAGAGCTAAGCATATATTTAGCCAACGTTTAAGATACAAATTGCCTTCCAAATCTGTTCTAAAACTCAAGCCAATGAAAGCAAGAAGGAAACTAGTAATAAATGTAACAATAAAACAAAAATAAAACAATATAACAATGTGGCATAATAATAGTGTATAACAATGTAGCAATAACATAACAATGTATCAATAATAACAATATAACAATGTAATAATAATAAAACATAACACTCTATCTCCCAGAAAGAAAACTTTACAAGACTATTTTGCTCATTAATTAAATCAGTACTTTTCTTTTTTTTTTTGGTACCAGGGATCAAACTTTGGACCTTGCGCTTGCAAGGCAGGTGGCAGAACCACTGAGCTAAATCCCCGGCCCAGTACTTTTCATAAAAGACGTTCAAAGAATAATCAAAATATATGGTAAATGTCTAAATTTAAAAATTCATTACAGTAAGACATATTGCCATTAATACTCCTCAAAATCCTCTCCCTTGCTTCCAACACAACTCACCTTATCATTCTTGCCATTTTTTTGTTGTTTGTTTTGGGGATTTTTTTTTTGAGACTGGGTCTTGCTGTGTAGTTCAGACTAGCCTTGAACTCACTACCTTACCTATGCTGGCCTTGAACTCACAGTGATCCTCCTGCCTCAACCTCCCAGGTGCTGGGATCACAGGTGTGTCCCACCATGTCCCGAATTCTTGCCACTTTCTGAAGCAGTTGTGAAGTCCTATTTCCTGAGTCCCTTTACAGGGCATGATCAAAAATATGGTGAATGCTGCTGTTAACTGTCATCCAACAGAAAGGCAGGCTTGTGAAAACATCACACTGTGTCGTCATCCACCTTATTCACCAGATGTGGCACTGGGTAACTTCTGGCTCTTCCCCAAAGTCAAAATGACCCTGAAAGGTAAACATTTTGAATTGATTCAAGGTACCCACAACAGTTCAACTAATGACACTCATGAAAGAGGACTTCCAGAACTGCTCCAGAGAGTGGTAAGAACAATGGGATAGGTATATTTGAAGCAAGGGGAAGAGTTTAGAGGGGAATTAATAAATCTTTTACTGTAATCAATTTTTAAAAATTTAAATGTTCACCATATTTTTGGATCACATCTAGTACATTACAGATCTTTGCATCACTATATGAATATCTGAAAAAATTTTAAGTACTATAAAGTAGAACTATTTAAATGTAAATTTTTTGAAATCTGTAGGTTTTGCTATATTTTTAGTGTACCATCTTAATTCTTCTTTTGATATTTAAAAATATTTAAATAAGGAATGCACAGTGGATCATCGAGGTAGGGCCCATAGTTTAGTTTTAACTTATGAGCAAAGTCTTGAGTCACGACCAGAATGGCAGCTGCTTAGTACTTCCAGATGGTCTCAGACACAAATTTAACCCTTAAGGAGCTTTGGAAGGAACATTACAACATCCTTTCTTATATGGGGTAACCGAGGAATCCTGGGCCAATGTCTCTCTAAGGACACTGAGATCTGCCTGTATGCAGGAGACTCTGAAGGCTGTTAGAGGAGCTTGAGCCTTCAACTGACCAACCTGAGTTACAACCCACCCTCAGGAATGAGCGTCCACTGTACTGTGACTTATGGAAGAGTTGCAAAGATAAAACAGGTCCTATATACCCCACACCAGGTGTCCCCTAAAGTGAGCATCTTACATTACTATGCCCCAC